CCCGCTGGGCAAACCAGAGTGCTGGAGCCCCTAAAACAACCAATCACAAGATCGAAATGTAAATGGTTGATTTTTATTAAACATTAACTAATTTTATTGCCACTTCAACAAAACTGGTCTTAAAATATATGCATAGATTAGGTGGCATAATAGGAAATTACATAGCCTACTTCTTATTATAACAAGCATTTGTGGCACATCTTTTCATAGAATATTTTCATTGTTGACTTCAAGTAAGTGGTCTTCACATTGTTATTTTCCATGCACATAAGTGGAAGCCGGTTCAAACGATTCTGTCCCAATTAAGCAACGAAGAACGTTTTTATAAGTTTTAATTTTGAACAAAACAGTTCTTCTCTAGTTACCATTATTCACACTGACACTTTGAATGCACTTTTAACATTCGGGAAAACAGATTTCAAACCTACAATATTTTTTTTCTCCACAATGCAGAGAGAGGCTCACAATTTTTTTTTTTATTAAGAACCATATAGTGCGTGAGATGCTCACATTAATTTAAAAGTTTGGTAGGTAAGTTGTACCCCACCAGTACATCACACAAGCGATAAACACCCTGTGACACAAAGTGCCACCATGAGAATGAAGATCACCCGTGAAGTCCCGGAAACCCCGTTCAGCCGTTATACCATATTTAAGGCCCGGGTATATTTAGGGCACCCTGCAAAAGCCATTCTGGGGCTTAAAAATAACAAAAAAGAAATTGCAATCCACATGGGGATGGCTGTTATTTTTAAAATAAACTTTGTAAATAATTATTAATTTAGAAGGTCATTATGGCTGAGGTCTTTGTGACACATATTAGCCAGATATTCACACTTTTTTTTTAACACTTTACCATATGAATAAGCCTCTGCACGTATAGTCACTTCAAAGATTAGTGCCCAGAATCAACGTTTCTACCTTGCAGTTTTCGATTCTCCTGAGAAGTAGGCAGCTCTGTTTATCCATCAAATCTGCTAAGAAACAGACTTCGTTTGCGCCTCCTCCTCCCCCCCCCTCCCCCACCTTCCCACTGTAATCTGAATACAGACACAAACTCTTGGCTTCACCAAATTGCTCTGTATTTATCAGGATGTCGGTTTCCAAAGACTCAAGAATCAGGTAATTAGGTTAATGCAGTTTCAACTTCGTATTAAACGGGTCACCCTATAGAATCTTCATCTTTAACTAGCATCCCCCAAAATGGAGAGTTTTTGGTTATAACTGTGACTAGGTTTATGTGAATCATATAAAATTGCTTAGCAGTTCTCTTCACCAAAGAAGTCCTGAAAAGGAATCTTGCAGTGTTGATGCGATCAAGGCAGACAAACAAAAAACTGTCCCGACCGACGACCGGTCGGCTCAACATTGTTTTGAAGTAGCGATCGCATTCTTGTTCTTTGCCGGAGAAGATAAAGGCCACGACCTAACTATCGTCGTCCCCATCTAGGAGACAATTTTTCGTTATTTTGAAGCCCCACCAAATGCTGGAGTTGGATCTGCAACGTCCTGTAAATGATACGCAACTAACTCGATGTCCTAGTGGGGTAAAATGTACTTGCTACTTACTTACGGCCACGACCTCCTGCAGGTTTCAGTCTACTGCCGGACGTCACGGTGTCGGCAAGGGTTGTGGAAATCCCCGGTGCTGTTAAATGGGAACTCCACTACTAGGCTTTGAAGTTCTTCTCATTATGTGCATACAGTGGTTGTATGTGCAGGAGAGATGGCAGAGATATGTGGCCGTGGAGATCTCTAGAGAATCAGTTAGAAATGCCAGCTTTTCAGAGATTTGTAGCCTTGGAAACTTCCAGAAAATCAATTAGAAATGCCAGCTTTTAAGACAATTATTGTGATACGTTGATCCGCCAATGGTCTGCTTCTACAGTGGTCATAGGCCTATAGGAGAGACTTTTTTTGCAGAACATTGTTAGCGTACATTTATTCTTCTGCTTCGCATTCACCGGCTGTAAACTCCGGCGAAAAGTTCTGGCTGTTCATCCTCCTCTTGACTTTAGACTTGTTCCAGAACCTGAGTGTAGCATGCACATCCGTTTTACAGATCTGACGTATTTTGTATGCAGCCTGTTGGTTCCTTGCCTTTTAGACATATTCACTCTGACTTTGAAGGAAACCCCCAATTAATCGACCTTTACGACATGCTTGGGGAGCAGTGGGCCAATTCTTGTTTGCCTCACAACGGGGTTTCGGAACCCACAAGGACAGTGTGTTAAAAATAAGCCTGCAGCCTACACACAAATCTACCAGATTCTGGTCGTTATTCACGTGAAGAGGGGTTTGAGGGAATCTAGGCCTTGTTTAAGTGCCTAATAATAATGGGCTCAGTTGTAATAAAAATAATATATTTGAAATAAAAGGAAATGAATGAAAAAGTTATGGGTGTTCGTCTACTTCTAGACTAGTCCTTTTTCAGAAACTGAGTATTACGTGCACATCCTTTTTACAGGTCTGACCTTTTTGCATGCAGACTGTTGGTTCTTTGCTCTCAGACAGATGCACTCCGACTTCAAAGTCATTTAGTCGACTGGTACAACATGCTTTTGGGCAGGCAGTGTCTTGTTTTTCCCCACAATGGGGCACCGGAACCCCACAGGGGGAGGCCCGGAAAAAAATTGCCGCTGTTTTGGTGGGCCGCGAGTGTACAGTTGAAGAACCCTGATATAAATGATACCAGACCAAAGGGCAAATCGCAGATAGGTTCAACCTAGAAAGAAATTATAATCAGGCACCTCTAAAGGGTAAACAAGCCTTGTGTAGCTTGCAGCGATATGTGGGAAAGGATTGCGAGTACCCATTTTCTCCCTGTTTAAGCCCAGACCTGCACACGTAGTAGCAGCAATAGCCTACACAACAACAACATGGCAGCCTCTGTGTTTATTTCGTCGTTCTCCCTGTTCGGCAAACACAATTTTAGAAGCACATACCATTTCTTGCGCCTCTCCAGGGTAAGAATTATTGTTTAGAAAGGTTAATAATTCTTTATGAGGCTGTATCAATATTTTACGGTTTTACTAAAAGTTAATTAATTACAGCAAAGAAGCTACATCATTTACTGTTTCGGTTTTATGGCGGCTGCTGTTACTGATGAAGCATTGAAGCTACTTCTGTTCTGAACTCAACGCTCGCCGAATTTGCTTATGAAGATGTGTACATGCAATGATAATTCAGTTCTATCGCCGCTTCCAGATAGAAAACTATATCAAAAAGGACTTTGTTTAAGGTCAAAGTCTGCCGAGGACAAAGTCTGCTTTTTTGTAAACAGTCGAAGATAATCACAGGTTAGATATTGGATGCCTTATCACTGCACTAACAGTAACACCATTTGTCTGCTCTCTATATATAACAGCTGCTGCCTGGAGCCATGGTGTTTATGACAGATTAAAACCTTGAATCTACTGAAGTCTCATAGATTTTAAAATGGCATCTCTGTTTATTGCAACAAGTGGGAGAGCTAGCAGGGAAATTTCAAGGAGTTCACACTTGTATTTGTCATTTATACGGGTATATTAAATTTAAAGTATAATTTTTGTACTCTGTTCACTTGTTAGACACACATGTATGCATGCACGCACACACACACACCATACGCGTACATATTGTTTATGAAAGCCATACATTTAAAATCACAGATCTTGCCGTGATTGCAATTTTTTTTTTTTAGATAAATAAAAAAAAAATACATTTTCTACATCTCCGCAATGGAGGTTGTTTACAGTGCGACCACTGCTGTGTTTTTTTTTACTGTTTTGTGAGGCACCAGTCTTTTGCAGTGTCTGAAAATCATAAGAGGGGTTTTGAATAAACCATCTGGCTGTGGAAACTGAACCCTAGTACTCAAGGATCATGAAAATCTTTAACACATATTGCCAACTGCCAAAAAACTGCCAATAACTGCTTTTATTACCACTTATGTGGTGTAGGCAGGGGGGTCTTTGAGCTTAGGGTTTATGGCCACAGGGCTAGTGCTGTCGCCACGATAGTGCAGGTGAGGGTTTTATTTTGCCCTTGACAGAAAAATCCCCAGCCTTACCGAGGATTTGAACCCGGACCTCCCGCTTGAGAGCCCAGTGTTCCAGCCGTTCGGCCAGACCGCTTCTCTAAGCACATATTAAATTACCATTATCATTGTTTGAGGAGTGACTCGGTGAGTGGTTACAACGTTGGACTGTGATTTTGGAGACCTGAGTTCAAACCCCGGTAAGATGATGGACGTTTTCCTGTGGGTGACAACAATAAACATCCTAATTTGCACAGTCTGTGGCGACAGCACTAGCCATGCAGTGCCACGACCACCTGTCCACACTGCCCTACAAAGCAATAAGTACAGACAGCAGTGACAGTTTGACAGTTTTTTGCAGCTTTTTAATTTTTATAATCATATTGTTCATAACATTTTGGTCGTATCAAGGGCCACGACGGATTGGAAAAAATTATAGCAGAAGGCATGGTACCAGGAAGGAGGGGCAGGGGCCGACCGACACGAAGATGGGCACAGGATATAAGTGACTCCTTGGGTGTAAAAGTGCATGAGGCGGGAGAGCTGGCGAGGGACCGAGTTTCTTTCAGGCAGACTGTGATGAGAGCGACATTCTGCAAAGGACCTGCTACATGATGATGATTGTTCATAAAAGCTTTTTCTTAAGGAGGATCAGGTGTTACATTTATTGGAAAGCACAGTTTTCATCAGATGCTGTGACAGTGCAGTGACTGTCATGATTGCCTGCCTGCTCTGTGGTTGTCAGTTTGATATCTCTTGTTTCGTAACTCAAAGATATCTGGCTCATTCCAGCTGCGGGCAGTTTGGCAGCAGATCGCTCTGTGTTGATTTCAACTGTGGTTTCGAGAACTGACATTTAAAAAAAAAATATCATGTCCACCATAATTCAGAGATACTGGCTCATTCTGGCCGCAGGCAATTTGTTTTGTTTTTCTTTTGTAATTTACTTGTTCAAAACATGTTCTTTTTTACCACTTTTTAGGTACCAGAGGCCAGCTTCTCATCAACTCGAAAGCGAGATGTACAGTTTTACAATTCAGCTTTGGAGGCAATTCATGACGTTAAGGATGGTTCAAAACTTCTTGTTGGAGGTCAGTTCTATTTTTCACAGTGTACACTTAGAAGTTGACAAGTTGTAAGGGCCCATCATTCAGTAAATAACATTGACAGGCAGAAGTTTCAACATTCTTTATCTTCTGTATTCACCATAAAAGGGTGGATGGCATCTTATGTTATGGCTGTCAGCTGCAGCGTAAAATGTGCTCCTTCTGGCCCAACACATTCTTCTTCTTCTTCTTTGTGTTAACCAGCTGTAAACTGCATTGGAAAAGTTATGGTTAATCGTCCACTTCTGGACTTTGGTCTTGATCCAGAACTTGAGTTTTGCATGTGCATACCCATTGTGAAGATCTGGCTTATTTGTGTGCAGACTGTTGGTTCCTTACCTCTTAGACAATGCACTTCCACGTCAAAGAATACACACCTAATTAGTCAATTTTTACGACATGCTTTTGGGGAGGGGTGGGGGCAGTGTGTCTATTCTATTTCTCCTCAAAAATAGAACCCTAGAGCCCACAGGGGGTTTCAGCATTCGGAGACCTAACCGTCAGATGCCTGGCTAACTGGCGTTGGTGGTCATGCTTCATTATTATTATCATTACTTTGGCTTGTTCTTGGAACTGGTATATAGCAGCCTGTACATTGCTGGTACTTTTGATCCCTGTACTATTGATATCTTCTTCTACTTCTTCGTTCATTTAAAGATGTAAATGCCTTATGCCTGTTTACAACATGGCTGCAACATTTGGGCTTTTTGGCCACTACATCGACTTCTGCAGGTGTTTGTTGACCGAGTTAGCCTTCCTGGCATACTATTTATATAACGTGTGTAATTGAGGCCCACAAGGAAAGCAATGAATAGTTGATTTATGTCTTCAGGGGCCATTAGGGAAAGTAAAATTGCCTAACTTATTGTGTACAAAATTTCAGCTGCAAAACCCAGTTATGAAGAAACTTTCAACAATGAACATGGCAAGAGCTAATTGAGGGTCTATGCGGCTTTGAGAGATGAAATTCAGAACAAGAAGAAGATACTATTTCTGGTACTTCTGTTGGAAGTTATTTTATGCAGTAAAACTTTTTAATTCAGATCTCATGGGACTGGAAAATCAAGAGTTCATGTATTAAAAAAAAAATGCATGCTATCTGGGGACTAATATGTATATTATGAATCCCTGCTAAAACCAAAATTGTGTTCTTGTTAACTAAATGTTTGTCTAGATCGAGTTGACCCTATTGAGGTTTTAATGTATAATCGTCAACCTTGTCATATCTACTCTTGCAGTTATCATGTTTGCTTTCCTTTATTTTTCTGTTTAATTTTGCTTTTTTATCAATGTGTGGTGCGATTTTCTGCTCAAGTAGGAATGTATTTTAACCATTTGGTAAGTCATGCATTATCTTAGTATGAGTTCTTTCTAGATCCCATTATTATTATTATTGTTATTATTTCAGTTTATTCTCAGCACCTTAATGTAGCATAGTGGCTAGATGCTCGCCTGTCAGTCTAGGGTTCAAACCTTCATTGAGGTGGATTTGTTTTCAGAATTAACATGGCGTCCAGGTAAACCTACCCTAAAATGGGTACCAGAAACTTGTCCATTGGTGTATATCAGAAAGCAAACACAAGAAGATAAGAAGATGAAGAAGGTACCAGATACTATCCTGGAAAGTAAAGGTGGCTGGTATTATGTTGACCACTTCACCATCAAGTGCCAGTTCTTCTTCTTCACTTCCTCTTTTACCACTTTAGGTGTCAAGGGACATAAGCTTCTGCTTCTTGCTCTTCTAGCCGTCTTGACCATAGACACATCGGGCTGTTGTTGTCCTTTTCTGATGCTGTCTTTTCATCTTTTTCTCAGTCTGTCTTGTATTCTGTGTCATTCTCTACTTTTGATGTATGCCTTGTATGGTATGGCATCACAAGTTTTTCTCTCCAAGCAGGCAAACCATTTCATTAGTTGTCTTTGTATGTAATTTAAAATTAGTTCTGTGTTGACCTTTTCTCTGATGACCTCATGCATTCCTGATTTTTTTTACATCTTTTCTGGTCACTCCAGCAGCCCTTCTCAGAGATCTCATTTCCATGGTTACTAATTTTCTTTTCTGGTTTGTTGTTAATGACCTTGTCTGGCACTGGGAGCATGCAGTCAATATGCTTTCTAAGATGTTTCTTTGTGCTGATCGGGATTGTCTTATGCTGTAAGAGGTGGGGATAGTTGTCCCAATACATTTGCCAATGAGTCTATACAGATATGTCTACCATGGTATGTCTGCTTTGCTTCTAAGGTGAAAAATCCTGTCTTAAAGAACTCTTCTGATAGCTTAGTTGGTTGAGAGCTTGTTGTTCATTTGGAATTGAAAGGCAGAAAGAAAAGGTGATAGCATCTTCCATTTCATTTGTGAATGGTTATGTGTGTCCTCAGGGTTTGGCTTGTGTGGTATTCCTGAGAATCTCATCGCTGCCTTGCTACAAAAGAAGACCAAGGGACTGACAGTGGTCAGTAACAATGCTGGCGTGGATGACTTTGGTCTAGGCCTCCTCCTTAAAGAGAGACAGGTATCTCATCAATATTGTTTTTGGTGGTTATTTTAATTGTGTGTATGTGATTAGTGTTGACTGTCATCACATTGGGAGCTGCAGAAGTGTATGGGTTAGATGCTTACCTGCCAGTCTGAAGTTCTTTGGTTTGAACCTGCATAGTCAGCTTTTTGTTTTGTTTTTTAAAATGGACTTTGGCTCCCAGGTCACCCCAGCCAAAAATAGGTACCGGGTAATCTCCTGGGAAGTAAAGTGGCTAGTATCATCACTCATCCAGTATTTTTTTTCAAAGGGTTCTAGCATCATGTTCCCAGTGCATAACTGGTGACAACATGGTCCTTTCTACCACAAGTGTTTATCAACAAATTATACACCTACACAAAAACACAGAATAACCCTCCTGTTTGATATTTTTATATTCATTATATTGGCTTAACATTCTTGTTGTTTTGTGCAAAATATTGATTGAAATGTTTGGTTGTATCATGATGCATCAGTACCTTTTCTTTGCTTATCTGCAGTCATTTTGTGTTGTTTATTCTAAGGAAAAAAGGGGGATGTGGTGGTGGTATTTGGGTTGAGTTAGAGTGTGTGGTATCTTTGTCAAAGAAGGACACATGCAAACCTGATGTATTTGTTTTGCCATGATAACAATTTTTAGATGGAACAAATATAACCAGAACCTAGCAGAAACCAGCAGCTGTTTTACTTACTTACTTAGTCACTCCTCTTCTACCTTGGGGTGTAGCGGTTTGCCAGAGAGATCGCCAGACGTCTCTGTCAGCAGTTTTCTTTCTGGCTTTGTTCTATTCAACTCCTCTGTCAGTTAGGGACTGTCGGATGTTGTATTCCCAGAGCACCCTGGGCCACATGGAGGTCTGGTTCCTTGGTTCTTAGCCTCCCCTGCCTGCCATGGTGGCCAATTCTCTCCCGTTCTGCATACATGTCCAAACCATCGTAGCTGTGACTGATCCACTTGGGTTTGTAAGGACTGGGTATCAAGATCTTGACTTATAGCTGTTTTACCCATAAGCAAATTACCTTATCTTTTGCATCAATATTTTACAACTAATTGTTTGCTAGAGCTGCAGATAGAAACAGGCTTCCTCCTGTTTGGGTTTTGGGGCCCCATTTTTCCTCCTAGTGAGGGGAAGAGGGAAGGGGGGCAGTTATAGATTCACTGCCCCTGAGCAAGCATATCTTCTTGGTTTGTATTTAAAAGGATGTTTCACACCTTGTATGGTTGTAGCTAGGCTGCGATATCTTCGCCTTTCAGTTCAATTTCTGCACCCAGCACATCTGATTTCAGTAAGCTCATTATTAGTGGCCTTTTGTGACATGCTTGTTCGGGGTCAGCGGGTCTGTTTCTTATTTTCTTTATCCAAGAACCCACATGGGGAACCAAGCATATCTAAATGGTGACTGGTCAAGTGCTTGCTAAAATCAGATATGATTTGGCTGAAAAATGCAAACATTACTGCTTAGCTGTAAACCATAAACACTGCTTGACAACCTCTCTTTTCAGGGTTAACACAGAAGAAGGAGAAGAAGAAACGAGTTTCTGATTTCTGAAACATCACTTGAATTACTTTGTCTGTCTGTCACTGTCAAGTGGTGGCATCTTTTTTTCCCCTATCTACACCAGAACAACCACATGAATGTTGAGTTGAGTTAACTCATTCACTACCAAGGAACTCACCAGACGTTCATTGCTTACTTTTTATATGGTACACATTTCCAAACTTATCCTGCCCCATTCTTCTGTTGTTGTTTTTTAAACCCTTTAGCTTTTAATTATTACTCTTAACATCTCCTGCCCTTAAGCTCGCGGGAAAAGGGTGGGGGTGAATGAGGCCAAACTGTTCTTGCTCTAGGATTCGTAAACTTTATCATAGACTTTTTGAATTCACAACATAACTTGGACTGAAAGAGAAAGGAGCCAATATCACAGCACTCAAGGCATTCCTATATGCTTCACTTTCAGCAGCAAGCACATAGTTCCAATTCTGATGTTACCAATAGCAGTCTGTTTCAATGTCTATCTTGCCTACCTCTGAGTGTTGTCAGCCAGATCCCCTGGGCACTGTTTTCTTCAGACTGTGATAATGTGAATACTTTTGACATAATCCTTGATTGATTGTCTCCAGATAAAACGAATGATCTCATCATATGTAGGAGAAAATGCAGAATTTGAAAGGCAGTATTTGGCAGGAGAGCTGGAAGTGGAGCTCACACCACAGGTCTGTTTTACAGTCTCTCTCTCTCTCTCTCTCTCTCTCTCTCTCTCTCTCTCTCTCTCTCTCTCTCTCTCTCTCTCTCTCTCTCTCTCTCTCTCTCTGTTTGTTCAGCTTTTTTTCTTTTGTTCCACCATTATTTTTCCATTTAATTTTTTTTCTACCATTTGTGAGGTCAAACCCCCCCCCCCCCCCCCCCCCCTTTTCCTTTTGGAGATGAAAGAATAGACCCGCTGCCCCTCAACAAACATGTCATAAAAGGCAACTAGTTAAGGATTTGAGGAAAAATGACTTTATAATGTTGAATATTGAATAAGGAATCAACATCACAGCAGTTGGAACATTCTCATAAGCACTCCATCCCCATCTTCAGCACAAGCGAAGAGTTCCAATTCCGATGGTACCAGTAATTGTATGATTGTACATCCGTTTTGCCTTTCCCTTGGCTGTTGAGTGTTGACGAGATCCCCTTATAACCCCCTGCAACACCATTCTCATCAGACCGTAATGATCTGTTTGTGCATCTGCACAGTTCACTCGCTCCCAAAGGTCCATCACAACATCAAGCTTGTCAAGCATCAGTTCGCTGCCAAGTGTTGCAGGAAAAGCTAATCTGTCTGCCTGCTCATTTCCCAACACACCCGCCTGAGCTGGAGAAAATATCCAAAGGATGCTAACTACCCGGAATCGCTGAAGCGATCTTGCCACTCTGCATGGAGCATACCTGTCTCCGTCTTTATCAACATGCTCTGTGATCATTTTTTATATAGAAAGGTTTCGGCCTAGCTGTAGACCACAGTACAATATTCCAGTTGCCCTTTTAAGGCCTTCAGAAGAGGAAGCATTTTTCAGATATCACCAACCTTGATTCATATCTCCTCTTAGTTTTAGGCTTTTATTATTATTTGTTTTACCTGTATAAATATGTAATTATAAGGTGTTTCAAGGGAAACAAACAGTTATAACATCAACAAAGATCTGCAGAAGCAAATATAACGACACATATCTGGTCTAAACAAATGTATATTATGTTGCTCTCCCGTTTTCTTGGGGAACCGCCATGGTCTAGCGGCTGGACGGAATCGGAAGGTCGTGGGTTTGGGTACTGAAGGAGACCCCTAACTACTAGTCACTTCTGTTGATAACTTGCTTGTTGTTGTGGGGTGGGGGTATGCATTATTATCCCTCCCCCCCACTTCCCTCCGCCAGAACTGACACATGGAACATAACAGACAGAATAGAAGATTTGCTTGACTCTGATGTGTTGCATGACAGGGCACTTTGGCAGAAAGAATTCGAGCAGGGGGAGCAGGCATCCCAGCATTCTTCACCCCAACAGGGTACGGAACACTGATTCACAAGGGTGGTGTCCCCATAAAATACACTTCTGATGGAAAAGTAGAAATTGCGAGCAAAGAGAGGGAGGTAAGTGAATGTACATTTTGTTGTTGTTGTTGTTATTGTTGTCATGCTTTTGTGAAAGGTGGAAGCAAAAACTATGATTTTATTGGCAGTCACTAAACTAGATTTTTAGTGGAGTGACAAAGCAGAATGTTGCAAGCCAACCACAACATGTGTTGGCTGTTTGTGGTTTGGTTTAGCTAGGCAATTTTAGGTTCAGTAGTTTGCCTTTGCTTGCTGAAGGGTTGATGCAGCAGTAAAACCTTGTTAACACAAATTCCAAGGAACCAGAAATCAAGTTTGTATTAAAATAAATGCATGCTAACTGGGAACTAATAATATTACATCCATGCTGGTACCAAAATTGTGTTCGTGTTAACCAGGTGTTCTTGTTAAGCAAGTTTGTGTTAACAAGAACAGCCTTACAGAAATGAACATCAGTCTTAATAGTGCTCTTGACAGAGCTCATCAACGAACATTACATCTCCCCCCGACACTTCACTGAGGTACAAGGTGGAAGAGAAGAAGAAGTGTTAACAAGGTTTTATCGCAATATTGTGCAATACTACAAAATCGGCACAGAGCAGTCTGCTGCCAAATTTGACCCCGTGAAGGACATAATATTGACAGGTCTAATATGTAAAGCAGCGTATAGAGCTGCAGTAGTGCTGGCTCGCTTGTAGTAATTCTCCTTGTAGTAACTCTGGTCGACTTGGAACAGACACAACTTTCTACAATGAATAACAAAGAACAGTGCTAAATTTCCAATGTATATTCTGTCAGTTTATTACCTCTACTTCTTCCAAAATACTACGAACAATAGTCATTCGCACGACGTTGGTCAGATCACAAACAGACTACATCTTCAAATATCACAACTGTCTTCTCCCAGTGCGGGTTCGAAGGCCCTATTATAGGGGGGAAAAAAAGAATAAACCCACTGCCTACCCAAAAGCATGTCGTAAGAGTCAACTAATTGGGAGCTTCCTTTGAAGTCAGAGTTCATCTGCCTGAGAGGCAAGGAACCAGCAGTCTGCATACAAATGAGTCAGATCTTTAAAATGGATGCACACGCAACACTCAGGTTTTGGAACACAACTGCAGTCCAGAAGTGGATGAACAACCAGTACTTTCTGCCAGAGTTTACACCTGCTGAACGCGAAGAAGAAGAAGAAGAAGACAACTGTCTTCCTCGACTTCTAGTGCTCATCTGACCAAGAGCCAACCTCGGGCTTTCCCTTGTTCATCACTCCAGCTCCGAATAGTCTGTGCCTTCGTCTCTTGCACAGGTTTTCTGCTCTACTAGCTGTGAGCATATACCACCACGCAAACACATCTTCACACAGCAGGGCTTTTCGGCTGAGTTTGCTCTGGAGTCAAAATGTTGAAAATAGGGATCATCGAAGCTAGAGGCCCGATAGCCCCAGCATAGAAAGGTTACTAATACAGAACAGTTGACAGTGATCTGTTGGCCTTTTTCTAGGCCTTCCGTGGGCCAGATTTGACCTGTTGGCCACCAGTTGGATAGCCCTGGTGTAGAGCGTAATTAGGATGGAGCTGATATACAGCATAATTAATTATTCATAGTCCTATATTTTGGTCCTTATTGACAAGTTAAAGTTCTACACCATTGAACTGGCACAGGTAGTCGCTGGAAATTGATAGATTTATTACATAACAAAATTGAACACCTGTAAAAATTTACTGAGTGCTATAATGATAATCTGCACTGAACAAAACAAGATATGTTCATGTTTAGTTTATCTCCACATCTCTGGTCACTGTGTCAGAACAGTTCGATAAAAGGTTTTTAATGTTTATTTGTGTGTCCAAATTATAAGGTTTGATGTTTATTAAACAGAGATTTAACTACTTTAGAGGATCATGATATACTTTGTATGAAAAGACTTCTTTTAAACAAAAATACAAAAAAAAAATATACTTTTGATACCAGACAGTTTTACTTTACTCATTCTTTCCTAAACTATTGTTACTTAAAAATAATAACAGGATCATCTAAAGGATTTAAATGACACTGTTTAACAGAATTGAGGAATGGTTGGTCTGAATGGTTAAGAGTGCTGGTGGAATGATGTGGGAAACCATATGATGCCACAAGGGATTCCCCAGTGGGACTGGTCAGTAAGTGCTAGGGCCAAGTAAAAGATAATCAGGGATAAACCATGCAAAGATGAGGTTTGCAAGCGAGGCGAGAAAAGTATATTTGGTCAGAATTTCCTAGGGAGAAAGAGAATGAGTCAACATGAGATAGGAGGATTATTTCTGTGTGGGACAGCGATTGTGAGCAGACGTCTGAGTCAAGGGATTTTTTTTTTTTGGGTATGAAAAGGAATGTATGAAATGAATCATTTGTGAGATACCAAGAACGACTGACATCTGTGAATGATAGATCCAATTTAAAACAAGGTAATATAATATTCTTAATGTTGAATCGACATGTATAACAAGAGTGACTGTCGGGACGCTCAACGAGAATTACCCAGCTGACAAGATTGAGGCATCAACAATAAACTATCTGTGTGTGAATTTTCCTGTGTGGGTTCTGGGGCTCTGTTATAGGGAAAACAAGAAAAGACCCACAATTCTCACTGTCTTCATGAAATGTTGTTGATACTAACATTTGCAGTTGGTGTAACACTGTCGCTAGACAAAACGAGTCACTCTCCTGAGCTCTCATGCGGAGGACCCATGTTCAAATGTTCAGTAAGGTTGTGGATTTTTCTGTCAGGGGTAAAAATAAAATCTTTACCTGCCCCGTCTGTTGCAACAGCACTAGCCATGTTTTAGCACAGCTCCGTCCTTTGTGTACATCAATGTCACACCCAGGTTCGTCTTTAGGTTTGCTACAGGAGGAGTCGATTAGAAGATTATAGACGAGGAGACAGATGGTCGCGTCGTTAGTGGTGGTGATGATGATGTCTTACTATCTGCATGCTTCTCATGTGACTCTGATGCTTGTATAATGAAATGGCTGGAAACAACTGTTCTTGTCTATACTGTCTTTATTGTGATACTTCAGCAATGTCACAAAATAACATCAATGATATTCTGAAAGGCGCTGTGTTCTCCCTATGGCTACATACTCGTAGGTTAACGTTGTGTTCTTCATCTCTAGTTACTTTGGTTCTAGTGTCTGTAACTGCCACCTGGTTTCTAGTGTTGTCTGATACTAACGGCTTATTCGTCGACTCTAACATCTTAATGTGTCGCTGTTAACCATGGATCCAGGTATCGTGTGTTGTCTCTGTAGCTCAATGTTTTGTTTCATGTTCGTCATGTGGCTCGTATCTAGAAAGTGTGCCTGTTACTAGCTCTCCTCTCCTTCTCATCAACTGAAGGCATCTAGTGTTGGACTGACATCTCTACAACTGAAGGCACTTTAAGGGTAAATATGACTGGTCCCTCCTCTCTTGAGTTTTGTGGACCAAAGAATTACCCTAGTGGTTTCTCACTCATTATTTATACTTTGATGATAGAATGCTACCTACACTGCAAAAGTGGTTTACAGATTTTTTTTTTAAGGGGGGGGGGGGGGGGGGGGGGTAGCTGAGTAAGATAATATAAAAGCTAGTTTAGAGTCGGCTAATGTAACATTTCTGTGAGAAACAGTGGATAAGAAAAGTAAACTTAAGAAGGGACCAAAAATGCAGGATGCATTGCTTGGTATTAAATGAGCTAAATAATTATACCCTGTTCTGCAAAAAAAAAAAAAAAAGATAATGTAACAACTGGTATAGTTGGCTAATGTAACAGTTCAGTGAGATACACTGGAATAAGAACGGTAAATCATGAAAGGCAGTAAGCAAGTAAACACAGGGAGAGTTTCTTTTTACCTAATTTGTTCAGTCTACTGGCCGTGTAACTTTGATCACCGCTCTTTTTTGAAAACATTGCAAATGTTTGCACTTGACCAGATTTTCAGCGCTTGACCAGCTTTTGGATATTTTTGCCACGTGATCAGTTTTTAAATATAAATAATACAGACACAAACAGTACATTGTACAATTTATTACTGGGCATGTTTCGCTGTATCTAATCAGGTGTGTTACTACAGAATTGTATAAGCATATAATGAAGAACAAAAACTGAAAAATTCTACTGAAATAAGAGAGAGGTTGTCTGTATTTCAGTGGAATTTATTTATTTTATGTCTGACAACAGGATATGACTGACTGAATGTTTTAGGGGCCGTCTAAAGTTTGACACTTTATTGTTAAAAATCAGAACAAACTGTGGAACTTTACAAATTACATACTGATTATATAAATAGTTACTTGATATATAAATATAAAATAGCATATATACATAAATGAAGCAAATAAGAATACTGGCCGCAAAGATCACCCCTCTGCAATAGCACACAATCTTCTAAAATCTGGACACGTGGTGACTAAGGACAACTCATTTCAAATCCTTCATACGTCAACCAATGGCAGAACGCTAAGATTTCTCGAAGCTTCCACAATTCGTCACCTGCGCCTGGAACTCTATATTCAGAAAGAGATGGTTCTGTCTTTATGGCTGCCTTGGTAAAAACAGGCAGTCATGTTTGATCGTTGTTGAAATTGTACTTCAGTTATAAAGGATTCACTTATTTGCTTCATTTATGTAATTGTCACTGTAGTACGCACCTGACGAGATACAGCGAAATATGCCAGGCAATAAATTGTGCAGTCTATTGTTTGTGTCTTCTTTGTTCAAATATATAAACTCTGAGAACTCAGTTAACTAACACTATGTATCCCAGTTATAACCCTAAGGGTTGAACAGGATATTTTTGAAAAATTACTACTACATTATAGACGAGTCGAGGCATGAAATACAATATGAAAGTGATCCACTGCTCTTTTTTTAGTTCCTCACGGGCGAGATTGGGTCTGCAGGCTACCAGTTGAATAGCCTTGCCTTAGACCCACATATTTATTTGCACTGGAGACCAAAGAAAAAAGCCTGACCAAAAATACACATGGAGAAGGGAGCTAGAGAGAGAAGTTAAAAAGATA